CCCCCCAAGACAGTAAGCAGTCATTTATAGGTTATATGTGTGCAGCTAGGAAACTTGAAGGTTAGTCTCTGAGTCATTTGCACAGATGTGTTCAACATTTATTTTCACTACTAACTAGTGCCTCCTGATTGAGCAGCAGGAAGGAAGTGAGGGGGAGAAAGAGGGAGACAGAGAGAGAAGAAGAAGGAAGGAAGGAGAGAAGGAAGAAGGAAGGAGGAAAGAAAGAAAATGTTTCCATATGAGGAGATGTGGGGAAAAAGAAAGGTCTTATCACAAACTAGTTTGAATATGTTGAAGCCCTGAATGGCATGGTGTGGTTGTGAATCATAGTTTCATTTTTATATTTTTAACTTTTGGTTTTGTTTTCCAAGAACAAAGTGAAATTGACTTAAAAAATAGTCTTCCTAAACTTGATTTTTCATTCAGATGTTGTGAGGGAGCTCAGAGGCAGAGAAGAGGAAAATTAGGCATATGTGAGGAGCACAAAGAGCGTTGAGCATCACCTCTTTGATTTCAAGGCCACGATGATGTATGCAGGGATTCATGACTGACTCACCACAATATTTGGCAGAATCTCCTCTGGGAATTGTTGGGCTGGGTGAAAGAATCTGACTGTGTAACTTAAAAGGGCCTTTTTTAAAAATCCCTACTCAGGCTGTTAGTTCAAAACCTGGCTTTTAATGACCAGCAAAAAGATTACAGAATGATGCCATTACAGTGCTTTAAAGATGGTAAAGTACCATAAAAAGAAAAAGAAAAAAATAAAAGAAAGTAAGAATAATATTTTAAAGCACCAGCCTTGGAGTCAAGAGGACCTGCGTTCAAATCCGACCTCAGACACTTGACACTTGCTAACTGTGTGACACTGGGCTAGTCACTTAACCCCAATTGCCTCACCAAAAAAAAAAAAAAGCCAGAAAAGAAGAAAAGAGAGTAAAGATGGCAAAGTAGTTTTCACTTTCCAGAACATTCTGTTATTTTAGCCTTTCAGAAAACCTGTGAGGTAGGTTGTATAGGTATTATTATCCCCATTTACAGATGATGAAATCAAAGATTTGTATTTCCCTTCCTGGGAAAGGCCTATATACTAATGTAGAATTATCTTCAGACACAGAAACATAGGATCACAGAACCTGAAGAGACCATACAAGTCATGTAGCTCAGTCTCCCTTATTTGGAAGAGATGGAATAGAGTGGTACAAAATTCTAGTGCAGACTTTGCCACTAACTCTCTCTGTGTGATCTTGGGCAATTCATTAGGCCTCAGTTCTATCACTTTCAAGTTGGGACCAATGTAGTTACTGTATCATACTCCCTGGGTATCATGAAAATAAAAATAGGGGGTGATACATACATGCACACATAGGTACATACATATATACATATATACATGCATACATATACACACTTTTTTTGGAAAGTAGAAAATGCTATTTCAATATAAGATCTTATTTTTATTAAAATTGACATTTCAGACGTTTAATGTTTATCTCTTACAAAGTTATAAGCTGTTATTTTATTAGAGAAGGAAAAACACAGTAGTTGAAAAAGGAGCTACCTATGCCCCTACTCTTTGTCTTTCACAAATTAGAATGAATTTGAGGCTCCTGTGATTTCATTTTATTCAGTTCTATTTAGAATAAGCCACCCTAGCTTTCAAAGTCCCGTACATCATGATGCCTCTACCTGCATCCCAGCACAGCTGGAGAAATGAAAAGCAATAGAAATTACAAGATCTGTAGCAGAGAAGGAAGAGCTGAATCACCAAAATGTTCAACTCTCTGTGTTGGCAGAAAAACTCAGGGGCCCTGTTAGGAGCTTTGGGCATCTCGTGGGAAGCTAAAATGAGATTTTAAAAAGATTTTTTATCCTCAGATGAGGAGCAACCAGAACGCTTTTTCTATAGAATAGCTGTAAGATGCAACAATCTGTTTTAAGTTTAAATCAGAAAGCCATTTACCTGGACCGTGTTATCATAACTTTCCATAGAAAGAATTTCACTGAGTACAGTGTTACACCCTCAGCATAGCCAGTGTGGGAAGTTGTTGTGCTTAACGATGTATATTCATTACAAGAGCTTTGTTTTTCTTTCTTTCCTTATTTTTTTTCCATTTTAGGGATTGGGTGGGAAGGCAAGAAGTAACAAAAAAAAAAAGTGGATCATAGATTGAGAGCTCAAAGGGGACTTTAGAGGTTATCTAGTCCTACTGTACCATTTCATAGATGAGGAAACTGAGGCCCCAAGAAGCTACATGACTTACCCAAGGTCACACAGTGGCAGAACTTAGAATTGAGCTCAGGACCTCTGATGAGAAAATCAGATTTTCTTTCCACTGTACCATGTCAGACTACATGGACAATGCCAGGTCCATAAGGACCCACATAATAAATTCCTCTGTGAGTTCAATGCTAGGAAATAATTTGTCCAGATAAACGCATATACTTCTCTTTATCAGACAATGAGAGCTTTTGGTCTTTACCTCGAGTAACGAGCTGAGGCGCCTGATAACATCCATTTCTCTGCTCCTCCCCCTTCCTCTTGACTAGTTTGTGTTCTGTTTTTATTTTTGTCATTTTGTCTTGTTTAATTTTCTGATACATAAGTTCACTGAGGGAGGCGTCTCCCTCCCTGTCGCAGTTCACAGACCATCTGTATCTCCTCATGTGGGGCAGTTCTTGTGTGTATTCTACCTGTGGTTCAGGAGTCTTTCCTCTAGGAGGTCTTCAATAATTCAGATATATGCAACAGTCTGCTTGCTGTCAGGAAGCAAATGATTTTGTTTGTAAGAGACACAGAAAAGTTCTTCAAATTTTCTTGGGCCTTAGTTTATTCATGTGTAAAATAAAGAAAGGTCCCTCCCAGTCTATATCCTACATTTCTGTGGCCTATTTACCTTTCCCAGTTGTATGATAGTAAATGTTTAACAACCAGCTCTCCAGGAAAAGAAAGTCTATGTGAGATGCACTTTGAAGCTTAAGCTATGTTATTAACATTTCATCCATCGATTTCTTAAATCTAGGAAATCTTCCAGATAATAAATCACACCCTGATGTATAGTATCTGCCAATTTCCAAAGTATAAATGTGCATACTGAAAATTAAATAATCAGCTTTCTCTGGTATGAGCTGGCTCTAGCACACCACTGTGTCCGTGGACCTCTAAGGTATCTGTGGATAGATTTTAAGAGATCTGTCAACTTATGTTTTTTAATATTTTGATAACTGTTTCAACAGAATTGGTTTCCTTTGTAATCCTATGTGTCTTATGCATTTAAAAACACTGTTCTGAGATGGGGTTCAGAGGCTCTGCTACACTGTCAGAGGGGCCCATGATACCAAAAAAGGTTAAGAAGCCTTGCCCTAGAGCCCTGTGGAATGAGGTACAGTCTATGGCACCTTATCTTTCCTCTTCCTCACATCTGCCTGTAACCTCTAAGATGAGGTATGATGCCCCGTTCATTTTCATGCCCAAATCTCTTAAATTTTGTCGGTCCTAGGTAATAAAGGTTGTGGCATGTGGATCATGTCCTCAAGCCTCCCTCACATCACAAGCAACCAGATTGCCCATAACAGCATCTATGGGGTAGCTGTGTTTTGTCAGAAGGATGATGCTAATGATTACCTCATTAACCAAGGAAGCAATGAAAATTTCAATGATGAAGGTGAAGCTTCCAACTGGGAAAACGAACTGGACGGTGAAGATGACCACTTCTCCACCCGGCGGCCAATCAGCGTGGCTCTCATTGAATCTAACAGTATTAACCACAATGGAGGTGAGTGTAGCCCTCACTCGGTGCCTTAAAACCCTAGGACTGAGAAGAAGTAGTATTTATAGCCCCACTTGTCCAACTCCTCAGGGTTCTTCTTTGGGGTTTTCTTAGCAGAGATACAGGAGTGGTTTGCTATTTCCTTCTCCAGCTCATTTTACATATGAGGAAACTGAGGCAGACAGGGTTAAGTGCCTACCCATGGTCACACAGCTAGTAAGTGTCTGAGACTAGATTTAAACTCAGGAAGATGAGTATTTCTGACTCCAGGCCCTGTACCATTTCCACTATGCTATCTAGCATATAAACACATAAATAGAATACAAGGTAAATGGAGAAGAAGAGAGCAATAAAAACTGGGTTGGTGGTGAAGGGAAATCAGGGAAGGCTTCACAGAGGAGGTGACATGAGATCTGAGCTGTAAAGGAAGGTAAGAATTCTCAGAGTAGGAAATGAGCAGGGTGTAGCCTCTAGGCACGGCAGATGACCTGTGGGAATAGGTGGGCATGAACGGTAGAGGGTCAAGTTCAAGGAGGACTTAGTCCGTTTTGTTTGGAACCTGGAATTCACGATGGGGAATAGCTTGAAAAAACACTAGAAAAGAAGGTAGGAACCAGATTTGTGGAGTGCTGAAAATTCCAGTGGGAGAAAGAGTTTGCTTTTCCTCCTCCAGGTACTGGGGGGCCTCTGAAGGCTTTTGCGCTGTGGTGTACTGTGCCTGGACCTGTGCTTCAGGAAGATGATTCTGTCAGTTGGGTGCAGGGTGGATTAAAGAGGAGAGAGACTAGAGGAGGGTGGCCTCATTTGTGTCATGGACCTCTTTGGCAGTCTGGGGAAGCCCGTGGACCTCTACTCAAAATAATGCTTTTTTAAAATAATTCCTTATTGAAGAAAATGCTCATTTTCAGCTCGAGGCTAGTGAAAATAAAGATGTATTTTTTCCCATGGAAGTCCATAGGTCCACCCTCCCACCCCGAAATCTGTGTGTGACCCTCAGGTTAAGACAAGAGACCATTGAGGAAGCCATCACAATAGCCTGGGCAAGAGGTGGTAAGGGCCCAAAGCCACGTGAGCAGGAGAGAAGAGGATCTGCAGGAGAAGTGAGGGCCGAGAGGGGCCTACAAGGTCATCCGGGCCAACTGTCTCATTTTCTAGAGGAAGAAACTGCAGCCCACAGAAGGACATCAGAATCTAAGTTACACTTAAAAAACAAACTGACAAAAAACCACACTTGCAGTGTTCACATAACTGCTGGTATCCTGTGTGACTCACGTGTCCCCTGTGGACAGATGAGGTGACTTCATTGGCCTCAGATCGTCATCCAGAATTAGCGTCTGTTCCCAGCTGTCCAGCCTGCTGGAGAGAAAATGTTCTGGGATGGCTGGGAACAGCCGTCTGATAATTGCAGTGATTGAAAGGGTGGGCGTTTGGTTTGGGAATGATCATTGAGAACTTCGAACTCTATCCTCATTGGCACATGGGCATCATCCTAACTGATACATGCCAGCTGTTTGTGCCTCCCCCTCAGCTATACTTAGGCTTTCTGAATAAAGTGCTATAATCATGTTAAAAAATAAGTATTAAACTGGGGTGGGGGGGGAACCACAACCCAGCATTTCTAAAGCACTTTAAGCTTTACGAAACACTTCACAAATATTATCTCATTTGAACCTCACAGCAATCCTGGGAAGTAAGTAAAACTATTATCCCCATTTTACAGATGAGCAAACTGAGGTAAATAGAAGTTGTAATTTTTCCAGGGTCCCACAGCTAGTAAGTTCCTGAGGAAGGATTTGAACTCAGGTCTTCCTGACTCCAGGTCCAGCGCTCTATCCATTTAGCCACCTTACAATATTCTGGCTGTATTGCATATTTAGCGCATTTGTTCCTTGCTGTTTGTGGAAGGCTCAATTTGTGTACAGAATGAGCTTCAGAACATGCTGATTTTTACCCTTTTAGGCTAGAAAAGGGCTCACTCCTATATGACCCCACGAGTGATGCACTTGAATATTTTTCTCTCCTCTAGCTGCTGGGCTGTATGTCAAGAGCAATGAAGCTCTGAACGTTATTGCCAACATTATCCACGCCAACCAGGAGAGCGGGCTAGCTGTGTTGCAGAGCACTCAGCTTACCCGGATCGCCAACAACAGCATCTCCTGCAACCATCTTGGCGGGGTCCTCATCGAGTCGGAGTGCAGGGTCGAACTTCGTGGAAATGGCATCTATGACAACAGAGGTCCTGGCGTCTCCTCCAAGGGAGACGGGACCATCCTAGAAAATGACATCATTGGCAACCGAGGCTGTGGCCTACAGTTACTGCAGGCGGCAAACATGAAGGTATGCATCTCATCCTTTTGCCAGGGCCTCCTCTGATACTGGGTTCTAATCCCTCGAGTACTTGAAGCTGTACATATAAAACGGGAAGGGTGGTGACGAGAGAATTTCTCTTCTCACTAGAAACACAGACTCACCAGGCAGGATGGGGAGAAGTCTTCTCCCAAACCTTTCTTTTTCTTTTTTTTTTTCATTTTCTGGACTTGGGCTTTTTATTTTGTTTCTTTCATTATTTTGTTTAATGCTAGTGCCTTTCTTTGATTATCTCCAATTTATCCTGTTTATAGTCTTGTTTGTACATAGTTGTTTGCATCTTGTTTCTCCCATTAAACTGTAAACCCCTTCTTCCACACCTTTCAATAAATAGCCCTAGCCCCAGCTCACGACTGGGAAATTGATGGATGGCCATCAGGGGTGGCCAAAAGGGAGCAGCCCTGGGCACAGGGGAAGGGGCATGCAGACATCAGACTTTGCGAGTGAGTGTGTTCCCTGGCTGCCTCTGCCTCCTGACAGGCCTTGCCCTAGGCAGGGGTAAGACAGTAAGGAGCTCTTCAGGGCTCAGCTCAGGTATCACCTCCTCTGCGAGGCCTTCCCTGATTCTCCCTTTACCCCTTCCTTCTTCAGCTTTTTACTGCTGTCTTCCTCCATGATTTATCTGAAACCTGAAAGGCTTCACCCCTCCATAGCGAGTGGGAGGACTTTCAAGAGATAGGGATGGTCAAGGAGCACACTCACTTCTGGAGTGTGACGTTCTCATGCCTTTCCCCTGTGCCCAGTGCCGCTCTCCTTCTGACCATCCTTCTCAGAGTGCAGGCACGAGTAGAGTAGTTCTCCCCAGCAGTCTTCACCTCAGCTGGAGCTTCTCTCCCTCCGTCATTGCCTGCCAGCTGTGGGAGCACACCCGGATCCAAGCCCAGAAGAAATCAGGCAGACTGATTTTTGTGTGTACCTTTAAGGCCCTCTGCTGAAGTCCTTTTCCAATACCTCATCGTGGTAAGGTGCCTGTAGAGAGCTCCCTGGGCTTATCGGGTCCTGCCAAGCCAGAAAGGCTTTTGGCGTGGTCAGGGAAGGACTGTGTGTCTGCCATCCAAGGAACAGCTCAGTTCAGAGGGGCCCCAAAGGGACCCCATGGCCGATCGCAGGCATTGGCTTTTTTTGGCCGTGGCAGCTCATCTCGGGTGCAGAGGCAGGGTTGGGGATACCTGTCAGTAGGAAGAGGAGTCACCCTTGTGAGACCATGAATCCTTGAAGTATTTAAATAAGAAGTCTTTAAGACATTTAAAAACCTGAGACATGTTAGAGACAAGTAGATTGCTAAGAATCATAAAATGATAGGCTTAGAGCAGAAAGAGGCCTCGGGCCATCAAGTTCAACCCTTTCATTTTACAAATGAAGAAACTGAAGTCACAGGGAAGTTGAGTGACTTGCCCAGTGTCACACAGCTAGTATATATCTAAAGCAGGATTTGAATTCAGGTCTTCCTGATTCCAAGATCACCACCTCTACACTACACCATGCTGACTCTCCAAAGAGCTCCCCTCCCAGGTTCTACTGAAAGAGGAACATAGAATCGGTTGTTCATAGGTAGGCTGAGCTAATATAATAAAAATGACAATTCTACCTAAGTTAATTTACTTATTCAGTGCCATACCAATCAAACTACCAAAAATGTATATTGTAGAGCTAGAAAAAATAATAAAATTCATCTGGAAGAACAAAAGGTCCAGAATATTAAGGGAATTAATGAAAAGAAATGTAAGAGAAGGTGGCCTAGCCATACAAGATCTAAAACTGTACTATAAAGTAGCAATCATCAAAACTGCTTGGTACTGGCTAAGAAGTGGAGTGGTGGATCAGTGGAATCGGTTAGGTACATAAGACACAGTAGTATAGTAATCTACTGTAGTAATCTATGCTATACTATAGTACTATAGTAATCTATTGTTTGATAAACCCAAAGACTCCAGCTTCTGGGATACGAACTCACTATTTGACAAGAACTGCTGGGAAAACTAGAAAACAGTATGACAGAAACTAGGAATATACCAACAGCTTACACCGTTTACCAAGATAAGGTCAAAATGGGTATACGATTTAGACATAAAGGGTGAAACTATAAGCAAATTAGGAGAGCAAGGAATAGTTTTCCTGTCAGATCTATCAAGAAGGGAAGAATTTATGACCAAACAGGAGATAGAGACCATTATGAAATACAAAATGGATAATTTTGATGACACTAAATTGAAAAGTTTTTGCACAAAGTCAATGCACCCAAGATTAGAAGGGAAGCAGAAAGCTGGGAAACAGTTTTTACAGCCAGTATCTCTGAAAATGATAGAAATGAGGCATTCATTTCTAAAGTATATAGAGCAGTGAGTCAAATTTATAAGAATACAAGTCATTCCCCAATCGAGAAATGGTCAGAGGATATGAACAGGCAGTTTTCTGATGAAGAAATTAAAGCTATGTATGGTCATATGAAAAAATGCTCTAAATCACTACTGATTAGAGAAATGCAAATTAAAACAACTCTGAGGTACCACATCACACCTATCAGATTGGCTAACATAACAAAACAGGAAAATGACAGATTTTGGAGAAGATGTGGGAAAATTGAAACACTAATGCATTGCTAGTGGAGTCGTGAACTGGTTGAACCATTCTGGAGAGAAATTTGGAACTCTGCCCAAAGGGCTATAAAACTGTGCATACCCTTTGATCCAGCAATACCACTTCTAGGTCTATATCCCAAAGAGATCATAAAACAGGGAAAAGCACCCATATGTATAAAAGTATTTACAGCAGCTCTTTTTGTGGTGACAAAGAGTTGGAAATTGAGGGGATGCCCATCAATTGAGGAATGGCTGAACAAGTTGTGGTATATGAATGTAATGGAATACTATGATGAACAGGCAGACTTCAGAAAAACATGGAAAGACTTGTATGGACTGATGCTGAGTGAAATGAGCAGAACCAGGAGAACATTGTACACAGTAACAGCCACGTTGTGCTATGACTAATATTGATAGACTTAACTCTTGTCAGCAATACAAGGATCTAAGACATCTCTAAAAGACTCATGATGTAAAATGCTATCCACATCCAGAGAAAGAACTATGGAGTCTGAATGCAGATCAAAGCACACTATTTTCTATTTTTTTAAATTTTTGTTTTTTCTTTCTTGTGGTTTTTCCCTTTTGCCCTAATTCTTCTTTCGCAACATGACTACTGTGTAAATATGTTTAATATGATTGTATATGTATAGTCTATATCAGATTGCATGCCATCTTGGGGAAGGGGGAGAATTTAGAACTCAAAATCTTATAAAAGTGAATGTTGAAAACTAAAAATAAATAAATAAGAAAAGCATAGAGAACTGGCTTACGTGAGCAGAATGGATTCAGGGATGGCATCAGAAGTGGCCTCAGGAATTGCCTCATAGCAGCATCCAGAAAGATGATAGGGTGTGAAATTCAGCAGCCACCCCCTTTATCCTTCCCTGAACCATGCCCCCCGTGCCACAATGGCCTGAGTTGTCCTTCTAGTCCTGGCTAAGTGGCTTTGCTTTCTTGCCTGTTATGTTTATGAGGTTTGGACTTTTGGTTGTTTCCTCAGATCACCAAAAACAGGATCCACTCCTTCTGTGATTATGGAATTGTAATGCTTGACCACGTCAAAGGTTTGGTGCAGGAAAATATGATCTTTCAAGGGAAGACCAAAAAGACCATTTTGCAGCAGGTTTCCAATCTTGAAGACTGTTTAGTTCAAAACAACAAGCTTTTGGCTTTCAAGAAGTAAGTCATTGCCACTTTCTGTTGGCCTAGATGGAAGCTAGTTCATCGTGAACAGAACAGTATGAGCAGCTTCACCTCTCAGCAAGAGAGGAGAATGAGGCATCTGTGGCTAATGGGTTGATTTGTTTTTTTAGTTATATAAAGTGAGTGATGTATTCTTTTTAAAAAGTACTATCAATAAAACTTTTTTTAACAGCTTTTAGGTCACACTTGGAACTGGAACCATTTGTTACATAAAAGATTTCACCTGTTTTTTTTTGTTTTTTGGGGGGTTTTTTTGCTGTTATTTTTTAAAGAGGAAAGGGAAAAAGTTGGCATGAATCTATTTGCCTTCCTGATGAGAGTTGTGATCCATAAATTGTTATATAGATCAAATGAGATTGATAATGTATGGAAAGCAATATATAAATGTAAGGCATTATAATTTTTTTTTTTACTGGATTTAGGATTTCAGCAGTCTGAGTCTAACCCAGTAAGGATTTATCATCCTCTCACAGTGCAGATCTGTAGCTTCTCTGTGACTTAGTCTTAGACAGTCTTAGAAAGCCTGGGACACTGAAAAGCTAAGTGACTTACCCGGGGTCATCACCAACCTGTGTCAGAACTGAGATTTGAACCCAGGTCTAATTTATCACCACACTGCTTCTCATAAGATATCACCATCATCATCCTCTAATTATCTTTTTTGATGGGATTCAGATAGAAACAGTTCTGGGACAAGTCACTATCTTTTTTTTTAAACATTTATTACTTACTTTTAACATTCAGTTTTTAAAAATTTTGAATTTCAAAATCCCTCTCCAAGTCACTGTCTTGATATTATTTTATATTTAATGTTCTGCAGTGTTCTAGGGTCAGGTGCTTAGGTTACAGGGCCTGGAGGCAGGAAGACTCATCTTCCTGAGTTTAAATCTGGTCTCAAGACACTTAACTAGATATGTGATGCTAGGCAAGCCACTTTAACCCTGTTTGCCTCAGTTTCCTTATCTATAAAATGAGCCAGAGAAGGAAATGGCAAGCCACTCCAGTATCTTTGCCAAGAAAACCCTAAATGGGGTCATGAAGAGTCAGACATGACTGAAATGAGTGACCAACAAGCATTCTGGGCTGGGCCTTACTAGGGCTAGTCCCCTGATAATTTATGTTAGAGCTTAGCATGAAACGAGAAGCAAAAGGAGATTTACTTAGCCCTTAGCAAAAGAAATATATTTAACAAGGATGTACATCCAGGACATCTGAGTTGGTTCAGCAAAACTCTCCTACCTCTGAGTTGTCCGCTGTTGTCCACTAACCAAACCTCAGAGCCCACTTGGAGCTCTTCACTGCTTCTTTGTAGTCAGGTGGCCGGCAAGCGGTATTAACAGCTGAAGGCTTCAGACCCCCCTGAGCAATGACGTCTCAAAGATGGTTTCATTTTCTTTTAAGGAAAAACTAGAACTTGTGTCAGGGTTGGAAGTTAAGACATTGCTCCTACCACATACGGATTATTGCACAAGTGAATATAATAACTTTTTTTGTAGCTGAATAGCAGTATTAGTTAGGATGTAAGCTCATCCTCGGGAGGCATTGAAAGCATCCTCAATGCAACTTCAGTAGCAAACAGAACAACAGGGATATGTATTTTAATTGTGATCTCTACATTTTGAAAGCTTTTCCTTCGATTTGCTTAAAGATGGTGGATGTTTGGTATGGTGACATTACTGTTATTCGTAGTGCCCACCAGCAGGGTCTTTTTCTAATGACCCACTGTGCAATCAGGGTGACCCTAGAGATCGCAGGTTATGCCAGTGGTGATCCTGCCTCTGGCATGTCCCACCACAGGCTGGTGAGAGACTGTACTAATTGTCTGTTGCCTGAGCTAAGTTCAGAGAGGCTTTTCCCCAAGTTAGCCACCAGTTTGTGAATTTTTAAACCACAGCCTACATTATTGCAGAGACTGCCCACACTGATGAAATCCCAGATCAGTGAGGTTTTTCTAAGAGGCAGGGTAATACTCTAGACTTACAAGGAGGCAAATTAGTCATGTCCCTTTGGTTACTCCTTATTTTTTCTCTTTTTCCTATCTCAGGTCTTCATACTTTTGTGGCAAGTCACCTAACGTTTCCAGGCCTCAGTTTCCTCATGTTTAACATTAGGGGATAAACTAGGTGTGCTCTGAGATCCCTCTCAGCTCTCTCAGAGATCTATGATCTCATGGCTTTTCTTATGCACTTACAATTTATATTACAGTTATCTGTGTAGTTATCTTGCTCCCCTTACTAGACTGAACTCCCTGAGGGCAGTTTGGGGTTACATGATACAGATAATGCTATAGGAATTCATTGAGGCTCTCCATGGAAAAATGAGGGTTTTGAGCTGGGTTTTGACTTTTGTTCCCTGTCTTCGCATCACCTTTGGGAACTCACCCCATGTGTTTTGGCCCCAGCAGGTCCGAAGTCCCTTGGAAACTGGAGAATCCCCCTGCGCGGCCTCACATCGAAGAAACCACAAGAAGCATCTCTACAGCCCACAACAGTCAAAAGGTGGCCAACATGACCACCAGGATAGCCACCAGAGTGGAAGGCAGATGTCCCAACAGCCGCAGCCTCTTCTGTACTATTCTGTGACACTGCCTCGGCAGCTCCCATTGTCCATTCTTTGAGCTCAGGGCTAGGCTAAGAGACCAGTTGGTCACTTTGGCATCAGTGACTGCCCACTCTCCGCAGGAATAGAGCTTCGCCCAGAAACAGAGTGGGGATTTCTGATGGGCTGCGCAAGTGAAATTCATTGGGGTTTGGGGGGGGTGCTTATTTGAACTCCCACCTAGCCCTGCAGGAGAAATTAGTGCCCAGCAAGTCCAAGACCCCCAAGCTTTCTGGGAAATGGGAAAAGTACCTGAGGGAATTCCAAGGAGGACAAAACCAAACAGTAATTATGGCTTAATGAAAAGGGGAAAAAGGTATTTATTTGAAGGGGCCATAATAGGAAGCACCATTTCAAGTCAAAAGACTTGGGTTTGAATTCTGACTGTGAGTTATTAGCTGTGTGACTGTGGTCCAGTCACTTAACCACTGTTAAATGGGCCTCATTTCCTTCTCTGTAGAATGAGAAGGCTTGGACCAGTTGATCTTTGATGACCCTTCTAACCCTAAAATCATGAGATCCTGCGATTTTGAAGAGAACTGTTTGCTGGGAAGACGTTTCCATCAGCCTTTCAATAGTGGCTCCCTCAGTGCTCCCTGGCATCTGAGGGGTCATGCCACCTTCGGGGTGCAGACCAAAGCCTGGTTCCTGACAAGACTCAGTTTCTCCTCCCCAGAGCCTGGTCTGCCTAACACCAGCGAATCGTCAGGAAGCTCATCGTTCCCGACATATGTGTCATGACTGCCTGCTGGGTGCAGGACGTTATGCCCAGCACTGGGGACGAAGAGAGGTCCATGTCACAGCCCCAGCTTTTGAGGCTTAGCGGGGCACTTTAATGACCACCAGAGCGGGAGACCCTGACATCCACTTGTAATTATTGACATCAAACCAAGTCTCGTTCTCTGCCTTTCACTGAAGTCCTAACCTAGTACCTCACCATGGCAGGAGCTCCTGGGGCTGTCCTTCTGGAGTGCAAGCTCTAATGGGGCCTGCCGAGCTATAAAGGCTTTGATTCCGTTCCCAGAGACAGACCATGTCTGCTGTCCAAGGACAAGCCTTAGCTAAGTGTATACAGGCTTTATGACTGGAAGATTGACCACTAGCCAGTTAATTTTCTGGCCATGGTGACTTTTCTTACACACATGTGCACACGTACATGCAGATGTGCACATGCGAGTGCACACACACACACACACACACACACACACAGCCAGCACCCATTCATACAAACTCAATACAAATGCAGCTTAGACAATCAGATCCAAGGAGAATCAGAAGTCTCACTGTGCTTTGCTCCTTTGATCCCAGAGGGCTATGTTAAAACGTGTTATGTCTGGGGGTCCTGGAGTCAGGTAAACCCGCAGGCCCAGCCTCTGAGGCGTGGCCACATACGGGCCACCACTGGACAGAGGAGCTGTTCTTTCACGAAGATCGCGGGGCTCTGATATGGGGCATGCTATATGTACTTTTCCATCAAGGAAGGATGCACATTCTGGGGGGACTGCATTGTTTGACTGTGGCTCCAGTACTGTGGGCTCCTCTCTTAGGGGTGGGTGAGGCAGAAAGGGTGGTGTCCTGAGGAAGAGGATGAGGTTGGAAATGTGGGACCAAGCACAGGGCTGCCCCGTGTTGAGAGGCCACCACAGTGCTGCTCTCTCACATGCCTAGGATCTGTTTTCATTTCTTCTTTGATAGACCCGTTCCACATGGAACTGGTGGGGCCCCCTTTTAAGTTGTACAATGTGCAGCATTTCCTATTTTTAAAGAAAAATCATTTTTATGTGAAAATATAATGAAAAGACATAATGGAAAAATGAAGTGGTATATTTTTTAAAAATACAAAAATGTTTCTGCTGGTTTTCCTTGGCTCCATATAGATATCAACAATAACAATAGCTAACATGTATATAGTGCTCATTCAGTACCAAGGACTGTGGTAAGTATTTTGTAATTTTTATCTCATTTGAACCTGACAACAACCCTGGGTACTAGGGAAGATACTATTATCTCCATTTTACAGATGAGGAAACTGAGGCAAACAGATGTTTAAGTGGTTTACCCAGGGTCACACAGCTAGTAAGTGTCTGAGGCTAGATTTGAACTGAGACTCTCACTCTGTTCCCCATGTCACTTAACTATATTTTACAAACAGCTGAATCTAGGCATAATCCTGCTGTCAGAATGGATGCGAAAGCTCCTTTTTTTTTAAAATTTTAATTTATTTTTTTTTTATTTTTAGTTTTCAACATTTACTTCCACAAGATTTTGAGTTCCAAATTTTCACCCCATCTCTCCCCTCCCCCCACCCCAAGATGGCATGCATTCTGAATACCCCTTCCCCTAGTATGCTTTCCCTGCTATCTCTCCCCACCTTCCCCTTCTATTTTCCTGTAGGGCAGGATAGATTTCTGTACCCCATTTCCTGTATTTCTTATTTCCCAGTTGCATGTGAAAACATTTTTTTTTAAGCATGTGTTTTTTTTTAAACTTTGGGTTCCAAATTTTCTCCCTTCCTCCCTCCCCACCCACCCTCATTGAAAAGGCAAGCAACTCAATATAGGCTATACTTGTGCAGTTATGCAAAACACTTCCATAGTAGACATGCTGTGAAAAACTAACTCTGTTTCCCTTAATCCCATCCCACCCCCCCATTTATTCTGTTCTTTCTTTTGACCCTGTCCCTCCTCAGAAGTATTTGCTTCTGATTACCCCCTTTCCCAATCTGCCCTCCTCTCTATCATCCCCCTACTCTCGTGTCCCCTTCTCCTATTTTCCTGTAGGGTAAGACAGATTTCCATACCCAATTGAGTGTGTATGTTATACCCTCCTTAAGTCAAATCCTATGAGAATAAGATTTACTCATTTCCTCTCACCTTCCCCTGGTTTCGCTCCACTGTAAGAGCCTTTTCTTTTCTGGTTTTTTTTTTGTGAGATAATTTACCCCATTCTACCTTTCCCTTTCTCCTTCTCCCAATATAATGCTCTCTCACCCCTTAATTTTATTCTCCAGATATGACCCCTTCATCTTCACTCACCCTGTGCCCTCTATCTATCTATCTATCTATCTATCTATATATATATATACATACATACATATAATTTTTTCCCTCCAACTACCCTAATACTGACAAAGGTCTCATGAGTTACAAATATCATCTTTCCATGCAGGAATGTAAACAGTTCAACCTTAATAAGTCTCTTATGATTTCTCTTTCCTGTTTACCTCTTCATGCTTCTCTTGAGTCTTGTATCTGAAAGTCAAATTTTCTATTCACCTCTGGTCTTTTCATCAAGAATGCTTGAAAGTCCTCTATTTCACTGAATGACCATTTCTTCCCCTGAAGAATTATACTCAGTTTTGCTGGGGAGGTGATTCTTGGTTGTAATCCTATCTCCTTTGCCCTCCAGAATATTATATTCCATGACCTGCGGTCCCTTAATATAGAAGCAGCTAAATCTTGTGTTATCCTGATTGTGTTTCCACAGTACTTGAATTGTTTCTTTCTGGCTGCTTGTAATATTTTCTCCTTGACCTGGGAACTCTGGAATTTGGCTACAATATTCCTAGGAGTTTTCCTTTGGGGATCTCTTTCAGGAGGAGATCGGTGGATTCTTTCAATTTCTATTTTGCCCTCTGGTTCTAAAATATCAGGGCAGTTTTCCTTGATAATTTCTTGAAAGATGATGTCTAGGCTCTTTTTTTGATCATGGCTTTCAGATAGTCCAATAATTTTTAAATTCTCTCTCCTGGATCTATTTTCCAGGGCAGTTGCTTTTCCAATGAGGTATTTCACATTGTTTTCTAATTTTTCATTCTTTTGTATTTGTTTTACAGTGTCTTGATTTCTCACAAAGTCACTAGCTTCCAACTGCTCTATTCTAATTTTTAAGGAAGTATTTTCTTCAGTAATCTTTTGGACTTCCTTTTCCATTTGTCCAATTTTGCTCTTTAGGGCATTCTTTTCTTCATTGGCTTTTTGGACCTCTTTAGCCATTTGGATTAGGCTATTTTTTAAGGTGTTATTTTCTTCAGTATTTTTTTGGGTCTCCTTTAGCAAGCTGTTGACTTGCTTTTCATGATTTTCTTGCATCACTCTCATTTCTCTTCCCAGTTTTTCCTCTACTTCTCGTACTTGCTTCTCAAAATCCCTTTTGAGCTCTTCCAAGGCCTGGGACTGATTCATATTTTTTTTTAAAGTTTTGGATGTAGGAGCTTTGACTTTGTTTTCTTCTTCTGGTGGTATGTTTTGATCTTCTTTGTCACCAAAGTAAGATAATATAATCTGACTCTTTTTGCACGGCTTACTTATGATCCCAACCAATTACTTGAGTTTTAAACTCTTTGTTAAGGTAAGAGTCTGTTTCCAATGTGGAGAATGTACTGTCCCGAGCTTTGGGGGTTTGTACAGCTGTTTTCAGAGATACTTCTAGGGACCTAAAAATTTTCAGATAAGGGGCGAGGTATTTCCTCTCCACCACCACAATAGGCTCCACCACACCAGCATTCATCCTTGCCCCAGGACCACCCCTCAGAACTGTGACCCAGATCCAAGCACAGGCAAAGCAAGAGATTCCTGCCTCAGCACTGGCAAAGAGATCCTTGCAATCCCCCTCTGATCAGCCACTTGATTCCCCCTCAGTCTGTGGGCCAGAAGCTCAGAAGCCAGCCGCTGCCCTTGGGGCGGCTGAGATCTAGCTTCTTCTCTCACGCAGTAACAGACTTTTCCCAGTGACCTTCTAAGTTGTCTTTGGCATTCGTGGGTTGAGAAGTCTGGAAACTGCCACAGCTGCCCACAATTCAGTCCTCTGAGGCCTGTTCCAGGGTCACTGTGGCCTGCGAGCCAGCCCGGCGCGATATACCTTTCTGATTAGCCTTCCAGGTTGTCTTGGGCTGGAAATTTGTTTTACTCTGTTTTTTTGTGGGTTCTGCTGCTTTACAATTTGTTTAGAGCCATTTTTTGTAGGTATTTGGAGGGGTTTAGGGGAGAGCTCTAGCAAGTCACTACTTTCCCTCTGCCATCTTGGCTCCGCTCTCTAATCCTGAAAGCTCCTTTTAAAGAAGATAGGAGAGAAGCGCTTCCAAGAGACTGGGGATGTGAGAGATGAGAGATCCAGAGAGCAGAGAACTAGAGCAGGGGGTGAACGATCTCTGCTCCAGGGCACTAGCATCCAGGTGGGCTGGCTTCCTCCCATTGAGATAGCCATCCCCAGGCCTAAGCCTCTAGTCCTCAGTGCAGTTATCCGTCCCCACCAACCCCAAGTCTGCATCATCATTGCTCCCTCTGCTGGTACAAGGGCACCCATAGTCAGAACGACCTCTGCACCTCTGCCATTGGGTTGTGAGTTCCCAACTCCCAACTCCACATTAACTGTTTTTGACCTAGGGGAAAGAATGCTGTTAAGGTTTTGCTTCCCTGTCAATGATGTTATCTCATGTATTTTCTATTCTCTTTCTTCCCACTGCCACCAGGTTGGTTTAGACCCTCATGCCCTTCCTTAGGACTATATATATCTAGCTCCCTAAATCTTAGTAGTCAAGGGGAAATAGTTTTTAGCCACTTTTCTTGGTTGTGTCCCTCAACTGGAAGGGAGTATTCCAAGCCCTTCCAAAGGCTTGACTCCCTTCTCACCAAGTGTCTGTTACACAAAGACCATCACAATAGTGAATAGCAAATAAATCTATTTATTCAAGCTGATAGCAAGAAGAAATCAGAGAAGTTATACAGATTGTTATTGTCGTTGTCCTTTGGTTTTGAAAGAAGACCAATGACATCACAGGGTGATGTTTTGACATTAAGCAAGGCAGAGTTGCACAAAGTCATCAACCTCAATCTTTCTTCCAGAGTCATCAAAGTTCAGTGGCAAGACAAAAGTCAAGACAAATGGAAATGGCCTGGGATGCAGTGGATGTCCTTGGTGTCTTTGATGTCTGACCAGTTCTAAGTGTTCCACAGCACCTGCTTCAGCTGCCTTCATGGCCATCAAAACAAATTGTTCTCATCCACCCATTGCTGGAGTAGACACCCCTCTAACTCACTGACAGGTTTGAAGCCTGTCAGTTACCCTCAACCTGGTTCGGACCATCTGCCAAGATAGTTTTACTGAGGTGTGGCCACTGAGAATACTACAGCTTGTTAGAACTACAGGTGAGAGTTGAGTCACAGATGGACACCCAAGCTACTAGTTCTCCCTGAACACCCCAGAATACACCGGGCAATACACAGAGTGAATGAGGAAGATAGCTCAACCAAGAGCCCCAGTCTCACTCAAAGAGGAAATTCCTTAAAATCTAGCATGGCAAACTGGGAAAATGGGCAGGCTGGTTCCTGAATGTGTCAGCTTCCTCCCAGAGTCTCTCCCTCCAGTAACCTCATGTGTCCTCTCTCAGAGCCTCTCATAGCTGTGATGAGCACAGGTTGGGAGTGTGAGAAGCCTGAAAAATCTTTCTCCTCCCATCCTCTCCCAACCCCAATCCTCATGCAGACATGATGAAGCATCAAATAATCTCTCTCTGCTAATGAGGAGAGTCTTGTGCAAAAGCCTAGGTTGGAGCCCTGGGTTAAAATTAGATTAGATCTCTCTCTGTCTCTCTGCCTCCCCCCCCCCCACCCCCAGATTTTGCCCTTATCACATTTCACCTGGCAACATACTGGCTTCTGTAGATAGGATTATAGCTCTAGGATTCTAAATTGAGTAGAATTTACTATTGGACATGTTATAGATAGGAATCTTCTTCAAGTGTGGTTGGACTAGACTGTAAAGTCCCATTTCCTTGGGAGTTCATAATGGGCTATCTAGGTGACTGGCCACTCACACC